TCCCTGACCAACAGTTGAATGAAAGGAACACAAAGAGTAGCTTTACTAGATGTTTTCCTTATTTTATGTGAAGTAACAAGATCTCTGACTTTACTCATTCTTCTTCAGGATGCCCTAACTGTATGCTGGACTTTATTATTTCTCCCAAGCACCTAATTTGAGCTCAAGTCTTCTGGTTTTGTTTTAGTGAACATCAGAATTACAAATAAAGAGTTAATGTCTTGAATACAGAGCACTGCTGTTAATGAATTTCTGAGACACTGCTGTTAAAACCAAAAACCCACCATGTGCAGAAGTTGTAAGGACTGTTTATCCAAATACTTTTTTTTCATTTGGGTTTTGTTTTGTTTTAATCTTCCTTCTCTCACTCACAGAATAATTTATTTTCATAACAGGATTAGGCAGTCATGGAAAGGTTTACCAAACATTGGGAGTTCAAGGTATGTGAAGTGTGGGAGGGGGCAGATGTTGTAGAATCAATATGATGCGGAGCAACATTAATAAGGAAATTCTTTCCAAACCATGAATTGCTCATCGCATCCAAACCATTAGAATTAAGAGCAGATGAGGGAGAGAAAGAGGATTTCAAATTTGAGTTAGACTAATGCTAAGAAACAAGGGATATTCCCACAGAAGAAACATCTAAGATCGCACAAGTGACCACTGGACGTTGCTGGTGCTTCAGACAAACTCTGCTGTAACAGCATAAACTTTGCAGCACAATAAATAAGTAAATATATAAACAAGTAAGTCTAATTTCTGAAAGAGAGCCCTTCGGTACTGGTATCTCAGATAGTCCTGCACATCTCACGTTAGAATTTCGTATCTTTCTCAGCAGTGTCATGTTTGATCGGCTCATCTTTTGCCTGTGAACATCGGTATGCCTGTTAAGGGCAGTGCACCAAAGCAAACTCATAGTAAACTACTGTGAACATTTAACTGTTGTACTGTAGTTGCCTTATAGAAATAAATTATAGCTGAGTTAGATTTAGATATTACTTGTTCACAAGTTACTAAAATGAATGTGTGGCAATGGTATTTCCAACCACACTTAGGGAAATAAAAGGCTCTTCTGAATTGCACTGTTTTATTACTTAAACTTACCATTTCTTCAAGCTGTCATCTAAGTGTCTGATTAATTATTTTATTTTTTTTAGTTTTAGCCTACGCATTGTAGACTACAGTTAATGCTTCCCAGGTTGAAATTGCATTCCTAATAAGTGCCCAGTAAAAGTTACCTATGAATATGTATGTTAATTACATTTCACATCTAAATCTATTGTAGGTTTAAATCAGTGTCCATTAATATGAAGCAATGGAAGATGAGAGGATAGAAAATACATAGAGACTAAAGAAAACAAAGCCACCAAAATTATTAAGCATACACAGACTTATTACATCTTCTATTACCTACACTGGTTGCTATGTGTATTTTTCTATTGTAGCTTCATCCAGATGTATACTCTACAACATAATAGTTGATTTAATTTGAATACGTATTGTTCTTATAGGAACACAGCTTTTAAAAATATTCATTATTGAAATAAAGTAATCAACTTGAAATGAAACTTGGACCAGTTTTGTCTTTTATAACACAGAAGATCATATATATATATATATACACACATATATATATATGTGAAGTTCTGTGGTGTTTGGGTTTTTTCCCCTTAATTTATGAAGTTCTGTGTTTAGGGTTTTTTTTCTTCTCAATTTGCTGAATGGTTTTCAAATACTAGAAAATAACACTTTGGGACCCATGACCTAGTTGCCTGCACACAGGCTTCTAGTGACATTACTGGTGACATAGCATGACCCACAAGACTGACAACCGACACAGGATTTACGGGAGGCCAGTGTCTGTGGAGTGGCTGCTAAACACCAAGCACAGCATAAAATGCCTATGTATAGGCAATGAAATCGCAATGCCACCCTTCATAAACACGTATAGCATGAAGTATGTTATCCATGTAGGATATGTAAAAATCAAGTTGTTCTTTAAAGCAGCCATCAAAATTAGGAAAGAATATTTAAGATTAAAAAATTGAGAAATATATCTTTCTAAATACTGCACTGTAGAAATACAGAACATAGCGAAAGCTTTTCCTTGCTTTCATCATTCTGCTTTCCTTCAGTCACCTTTTTCCAGAGGCTGGAATTGGCTTTTTAGGATTTGCTTCCTACAGAAGAAAAGGTACGGTACTTTAAAGCATGATTTTACCAACACAAGTGTCTTGAAAGAGATTAAAACTTTGACTGAAATTTATCCTTATAATTACTCACCAATAGTTTCACTAAAAAGCTGCTGAAAAGCAGCAGTTTAAGTGACTACTGGATTTGTAAGCAAAGGATCTCTCCTGAATGCACACCCATTATTGGGAGTATGTAATTTCTTCTACTGAAGGAATGGACATAAACCAAAAGAAATGCTTGAGCAGACACAAGCCAAAAAAGCCTGGGGCTAGAGTAAGCCTACTACTGCATCAAACCAGAAAGAACAGAGGCATTCCTAAGCACTATTCACTTACCCACTATACAACGTGATTCTTCAAACACACCTTACAACAAGAGGTCTTTCTGCTTCCTAACAAAGTGCATCTACTTCAGCATTGCTTTTGAAAACATCAACATATTGGTTACAGTGTCTGTATTTGTACTGAATGATCAACAGATTAATACTGCTTTGAAAAACTCCGACTCAATCTTACCAAGATTGAAATCTCTATGTCAGGATACTCAAGAGTGAATTACTGATGTTCCTGGGGTAGGAGGATGCAGGGAAGCAAATCAAATACCATGTTACAAAAAAGTTTTTAACAAGTCTATTTACTGTAACTGACAGGATGCCCAAGTGCTGGAGGAGTATCAAACTGGACACAAGACACATGTCAGCTGACTCCATAACTCACGCTGCTTATTTAATACTTCCAAGACCTAAACTGCACATTTGTTACCTCCAGTCAAGATATAACACTTTGAGAAGTGACCATTTGAAAACAGCATCTCTTTACTCATGAGATCTGCTTTTAGCACATAGTCACTACCAGTTTTTACTCACTGGCAAAACAACTGCAGTTAGAGCAGACTGAATGCTTTCAAGCATTCAGCAATCACATTCCCATTACGAAGGACAGATTTGCATCTGGATGTGACCAGTTGGAAATCACCTTCTGTCAACCTCTTTAAAGTGTCATCCCCTATCCAGCAAATCAACTCCAACAAAATTTGCTACACATTTATACAGTATTTTCTAAAAGAACAGGGAAAAGCTTTTATACATGGTCCATGCACCACAATGCATTTACTGTATTATTACAGGTAAACAGGGCGCTATGCCATGGGGCCAGTATGCCTTCAGATAACTGTAAAATATTGCAAAATTAAAATACTCAATTCTTAATCAGCTAAAACACTAATATGCTGTCTGGAAGGAAAGGCACTGCTGGAAGAATTTCACATACATTTTTTACATATAATGTTGAGACACGCACTTCTGGTAAATGGAGTTTTTAGAATTTTGTAGAATCCAGAATCAAATGCTAAAAAAATACACGAAACAAAATTTGGAAAAAAGTAGTATTATTTATCATGGTTTTGAATTAAATATTCCACATAACAAAAGTGTTATTTTCATGTCACCAACTATATTACTTATATACATATGGCAAAAAGTTAACAAAAGAATTACGTGATGCCCTATCAAAACCAACAGTGATTTCTTACTTCAGCAGTCTGAAATAACTGGTTTGTATCATAGACAAAGTATAGACAATATTTACAGCAAAGGGCTTTTTGGATCTGAGAGCAATTATCTTTCTGAAGGTAAATTAAAATCCAGCTTTGTATTATAGTACAACAAATCCACCACTGATCTAGAAGTACTTGCGGCAAACTGAAAACATGAACTTCCTGCAACTGGGATTAGTATTTACAAAATATACTGATCAGCCACACAGAGGCTCATATAACTTTAAATATATATATACATATACAAGCACACATATATATCTCTATATATATGTAACATATAAATAAAATTAAAAAGAACAAGGTAAAAATAAGAAAAGAGCTTCTGTCTTTGGAATGTCTAAAAGATGACTATGTTTTTACTCCAGTGTTTCTTTGTTACGAACATACTTAACAAGTGGCACCTTTTTCAAAGCATGACTTAAGTCAACTAGGTAGGTTTGCTGAAACAATGATTTCAACAACAACAAACGAAAGTAACATATTTCTAAATTTCACAAAGAAAATAATAAGGAATTTACAGATTTGAACTGATAACTGTTTACAGCACCAGGCAATATTGTACAACATAGGTGACTCAGTGTGCATCTAACTTTCTCACTGCTAACGCAAAATCGTTATGTTTACTTCCCAGATTTAGTATATGGCTGTGTTTCCCACAGATACTGAGATATGTACCTGCTGATTCATTACAGCAAACATAAGAGAAGAGGCTTTCATTGAAACCTCTTCTTGTTTGGATTCTCTTTAAATAAGCATTGCTGAGTTTAAAACCTCAGACTTTTAACGTAAATACAAACAACTAACTGCCTCTGTGACTGGAATGGAAATAAGCATGCTCCCTTCTCAAGAGTTTAACTCAAGAAAAGCCATAAAGTCCGTGGCATTTTATTTTCTTCAACAAATCCTCAAAATGTACTAAAAAAAAAAAAAAAAAAAAAAAAGCTTAAACCAGAAGTAAAGCATTTTCCTGTGCCTTGTAAAAAAACCAAATCACAAACCGCCCTATTTTATACTGCATTCATTTACTCTCTAACACTCTGCCTCCAACCTCATTTCTTCAAGCATGTAAAAAAAGCTGACCGACATTTTCATGTTTTTCCCATAAAGTTGTTCTTCACCTCCTTTAAAAAAGGGAGTAATTCTATTCTGATATAAACTTCCAGTTTATTTTTCAAATAGATATACTGGCTGTGAATTAGAAGATGAAACTGTATACAGTATTACCTGAGTTCATTGATTCACAGACAACTTAGCACAGATTAAATGATGTTTTCCCAATCATCTACAAGCTTAAAAAAAGACTGATTCTTGTAGGTATTTTTTGTAAATAATAAAAAAACCCCTAATATATTATACTATTGTTAACATTTTCAATGTTTGAAGCTTTAACTGTAAAATCCACCTTTTACTTTTCTGAAAACTTGTTCCGAGAAATTCGAGTCCCAGAAATGTTTTTAGCTTTCAAATTTTAAGGTGTCATCGAAAAACATTGCCTATATTCTGCCATTCATTTGAAGATTCTGGTACCACTTCTTCTAAATTCAGAGCACGACTAATATCTTCTCCTTCTTGTTCTTGATGACTAGCAGGCTCTTGTACAGGACCTACCAAAATACAAGATGAAAAGACAAGTCAGTTTGATTTGATGTACAGTATAAGAAAAATACAAATACAGCATTTGGGAATAAAGGAATCATGCTGGGAAAGGTGTTACACAACTACTTCCGATTCTGTAAATTCATTAGATGCTCTCTGAAAAACAGTTTTAAAAAAGCTAACATAATTGATTGTTTTCCCTGTAATAGTGTCTGAACTTTGTATGTTTGTACTACAGAGCTCCACATATAAAACAGTGAACCATAAGCTGCAACCAGTCTCTGTTTCAACCTGCTTTTTGGTTGCGTGTGCCACTACTAGCTCATCAACTCTGGTCTTTGGCTATTAACACCCAGTTCCTCAGTAACTTACAGGAAGTGTTTTGTGCTTTCCTAGGAAAGCACACAGCTTTCTGCACTCACCATTACTATCATTATGCTACATACCAGTGTAACCATGTGCCCTTTTCATATGTAGTTTCATATTGCTTTTCTGCGTAAATCCCATTGCACAGTAATCACATTTATAAGGCCTCTCTCCTGTGTGCTTTTTCATGTGGACTTGAAGAGCACTCTTCTGGTTAAAAGCCTTTTCACATAGCGTACACTGAAATGGCCGTTCCCCTGATAAAAAAGAAAAACTTTTTTAATAATTTCTTATTTCAACATACAGTTCAGAACTCAGTAAATATCATCAAGATGACCTAGAAATTAAGCAGACATGATCTTTCTTCCTTGGTACGACATTTACTCAATGGAACCATCACCTTTTTACATCGTTTAGAATAAAGCCATATTCTAGAATTAACAAAGTTGATGCCTGTAAGAAAGTCGAATGTGTTAAAAAAACTTCTGCTAATTTTACTCCTATGCCAATAGCTACTAGTGACCAAAGCAGGCATATTGTTCCAAGCCTGCCACAATACTATTTTTAAATATAAACTCAAGAACATACTCATTATAAAAATATTTAAAAGACCTACTTTGCAAAACCAGACCTTTGCTTCAACACACACCACTACAACCTCTGACATCAACACAAGATGCACTGCTTATGTCATCAAGGACTTCTAAAAGCACTTTCTGAACTTACAAATACACTGTAGCTTTCTTGCTAAATCCAACTTCTCAGACTATCAATAGAAGGTCCTTGGAAGAACAGAAGTGCTTTCTATTTTTGTTAACAAGTCTGAAGTGAAATCCAAGTTTCCTCAGATACTTCTGACTCCAGGTTTTCCATTCCGTTAAGATGAACAGCCTTTCTCGTGTTGTGCAATAGATTACCATGTGGCTTTTTGGTAGAACTGGAAGCACCTACTTCCATCTAATTTTGGCAGTATTTCTCCAAACTCCTCTTCATTGATAAATCTGAATGTTCAAGATATTTAAAGCTATTCAGAGAAATAACGTGTTTTCCTTCTGGCCACTGATTCAGGAGGTACTGCCCATTAGAAATCACTCAAAATGTTTAAGCAAGATAGAAATCACAAACACTTTCTCCCAGACAAGGATCATACCTTGAGGAAAGCACATCAGTTTAGGTTTACATTAGCCTTTCCAATTATAGTTTATGTAAGAGCACCCTTCTAAAAACATCTGTGCAGCACATTTTCGTTCTTTTGGTCTTAAGGGATTTTTAGAAGAACATTCTCTTCTGAGAGAATAACTGTTCTGTGGACTGGCTTGCTGTTTCAACAACATCAGACGACAGTAATATAAAAATGAATTTAGCAAGTATTGTAATAGTTTGTGGGCATCTGTTCTTAAGATACAGAAGGTAAAGGCAGTTGGGCTATCCTATGTTCAGCTTTCAACTTATAGCAGGGCAGAAGCTGCAACCTGAAAAGCACTTCTATCACAGAAAATGTGTACCCCCTAGGAGAAGTCAGTCTAGTCTTTTTATAGAGTAACAGGTGAAGAAAATAATTAAGCAGAAAAGAACACAACAAATCAAAAGCACTGCCATTAGAAACAGATGAACTAAGTAGTACAATGACAATGAAGCACTGCATAAAGCAGTCAGCATCGGTAGTCAAGACTGTCACTTATTTAACATCACTGAGCACACCCACTCATTTGCACATTTTCCTGTGCTTGAAGAGGATCATATCTGGAGTCTTTACACCACTTTAAATAATAAAACATGTTTTTATTAATCTGTTTCAAAGATTGACAAACTTTCAGATACAAGCTTATGCATTCACATCACCTTTGCAGTACTATTCCCAGAATATGAAGAAGCTTAGTGAAGCATAAAGTTTTGGCTCTAAACAAAACACCAGTTTCTGAGATTTCAAGTCTGCTGTTCCTTATTTTAATTTCTAAACTCTTTGGGTTAGAAATTCACTTTATTTTTTTAAGCGTAATCTAAACATTGGTATCTGAATGCAGTTACTTGAAGCCATGAGCAAGGACTCCAAATATAACACCCTTATGTTCATGAGAAAATCTTGTGAGAGAAAAATAATTTTTGGTGTTACCTGTGTGAATGCGACTATGTCTCTCCAGCTGACTTGGCTTAGCGAAAGCTTTTTCACAAGTATCACACTTAAACACTCTAGGCTTCTGGGAACTCAGTGAAGGTCCAGCCTGATGGGTTTGCATGTGTTCCTAAGCCAGAACAGGAAAAAATACATTTCAGACCATTTTAAAAAGCTGGAAGATGGAACCCTGCTTTTCTTTTCTTTTTTTTTTTTTTTTAAGAGATTGGGTTTTATTTATCAACTATTTGTAATGCTGATGTATCAGTATCTTTTCATTTCTGAAAACCTCTGTCAATAACTGTATGCATTGCTTGTTTTGCATACATTAGTCCCTTCACTAGTTATCTGAAGCAAAAAATCCCCAAACCAACCAACCCAGAGCTCCTGAAATACTTCGTTCACAACCCTTTCCATGAAGAATTCTTCCTAATACCCAATCTAAACCTCCTCTGGTGCTACTTGAGGCCACTTCCTCTTGTCCTATTGCTTGTTATCTGGGAGAAGAAACCAATACCCCCCTCACCACAACATCTGCTCAGGTAGCTCTAGAGAGCCATAAGGTTTTTTCGCTTAGCCTCCTTCTCTCCAGGATAAACAACCCCAGTTCCCTCAGCCATTCCTCATCAGACTTGTGCTCCAGACCCTTCGCCAGCTTCGCTGCCCTTCTTTGGACCTGCTCCAGCACCTCAGTGTCCTTCTTGTAGAAAGGGGTCCAGAACTGAACACGGTATTTGAGATGTGGCCTCACCAGTGCCGAGTACAGTGGAGTGATCACTCTCCTAGTCCTGCTGGCCACACTATTGCTGATACAGGCCAGGATGCTGTTGGCCTTCTTGAACAACTGGGCACAAGCTGGCTCATGTTCAGCTGCTGTTGACCAACAGGTCCTTTTCTGTGGGCAGCTTTCCAACCACTCTTCCCCAGTCCTGTAGCTCTGCACAGGGTTGTTGTGGCCCAAACGCAGGAGCCAGCACTAAGCCTTGTTGAACCTCATACAACTGGCCTCAGCCCATGGATCCAGCCTGTCCAGATCCTTCTTAAGAGTCTTCCTATAAGAAAGCAGATCAACACTCCCACCCAACTTGGTGTCATCTGCAAACTTGCTGAGGGTGCACTCAATCCCCACACCCAGATCACTGATAAAAGATATTAAACAGAACTGGCCCCAATACCAAGCCCTGGGGAACACCACTTGTGACTGGCCACCAACTGGATTTAACCACATTCACCATTAACTCTTTGGGCCCAACCATCCAGCCAGTTTTTTACCCAGTGAACAGTAAACCTGTCCAAGCCATGAGCAGCCAGTTTCGCCAGGGGAATGCTGTGGGGAACAGTGTCAAAGGCATCATTTTGTTTCCCAATCCTTTCTTCACAACAGCCTTGTAGTTCTCCTGAGTTGCCTGCCCCTTATTCCAAAGATCATATACTCTTTTTTCCTGAGTCCTAGCCAAAGCTCTCTCTTCCCAAGAATCAAACCCTCTGTCATTTCATGCTTATTATGCCCAAGACAGACTCAAACAATCACATCACCCACAAGTCCTTCTCTGTTTGCAAAGAACAGGTCCAACAGGCTCCTTCCCTAGCTGGCTCACTTACCAGCCATGTCAGGAAGTTATCTTCCACCCACTCCAGGAACCTCCTTAGACTGTTTCCTCTCTGCTATATTGTATTTCAGCAGACATCTGGTAAGTTGAGGTCCCCCATGAGAACAAGGGCTAGTGACTGTAAGACTCCTCTCAGCCTCTTACAGCGTATTTTGTCTGCCTTTTCATCCTGGTTGGGTAGTCTATAACAGAGTCTGCATTGTTGGCCTTACCCCTGATTCTTACCAATAAACACTCAACACTTTCATTATCACGATCAAGATCTGGAGAGTCAAAACTCTCCCATCAACCCTTGACCAGTTGTCCCAAGGTCTCTTTTGATTGCCCATGGACTTCTTATTACAACTTCATCACTGCCTACATGAGAAAGCAATAATGAATAATAATCCAAGGGGAATACCAGAGTAGAAATTTACCTTGTCATATCTTTAACCTAGGACCAGTATGTAATAGAAGTCAAGGTTTAATTATGAAAAAAATGTAACACCAGACAGTTCTAAGAAAACAAATTGAAGAGAGATTGATATTTTGGTTTTGTTTTCACTACTTAAAGAAAACAAATATCAATATTGAATACTGTATTTCTTTTTTTTTTTTTTTGCTGGAAAACGTCTCCTAAACCAGAGGTTAACAGTTTCACAGCACCACAATTTATGAGTTTGCCCAAGGACCGACAGTCTAGTTGACACACATGATCACTCCAAGGGGGTGAACGTCACAAACAGAGTATACTTCCTTAAAATACGGTACTAAAGGGAAATCTATTGAAAAGCTCTCCTAAGAGCTACTTAATACTAAGACATTACCTCTGTCTCCAGAAATTTCCTGCTATAAATTCTGGGAAGCTGGCAAAATTTTGGGGAAGTTATATGTTTCCTCTTTTCGTAAAGCACTTCTTCAAATCACTGCCTTTTAGAATCTCTCAGAGATAGGACACTGGCCTGGACATAGCACTTGTCTAGTAGAGCTGAATATTCCTAACAGGAGCATTCCATAACCTAATTAAAAATTTAAAGACACCACTAATTTTTTTTTAAAGACTTGGAAGTATCAGGTTGTTCATAATCTAAAGAAAACTAATATAAAATATCAGTAAACAACAGCAATAATATAAGGATATTTTAAAACAAATGCTCCCTCTGCAGACATCCGAGAGAGCATCTAAAAATCAGACAATAAAGTGCAAAGCGTATATCTTCCTATGATTCCAAAAGCTTATCTGGAAATCAGGTTTAGCAGTGATGAGATACGCAAGCAAGCAAAGTAAGTGGAAATTTTTCTGGCACTATTGCTTCCACAACAGGCATTCACATTTTTCATTCTGTAATCAATATATGCATTCAAATCCCCTCCACACTCCAAGAGAAAGTTCTCTATCTGTGTATATATCATTACTGCGACACCCTCTCTCAGATGCACACCTCTCACACTGTAAAAGGAAAGGTAAAGGGATAATAGGCACCTTTCATTAATATTGCAAAAGTCCAAAACAAAGGAGTTAACAGAACAATTAACTGTTATCACCAAATACCTTGAGATGTGTTGCCCGCTTAAAGGCTTTATTGCAGACATGGCAAACATGTATCCTTTCCTTGCCATGAACCTCTTTGCTATGCTGCATCAACATGGTGGCTGAAGAAAAGGTTTGACTACACTCAAAACACTGGTGCACACGACCTTCTTTTTCCGCTTGACTGCTTTTAGTCACATTAGGAGAAACCTCTGCCACCTATAACAATTTACAAACATACTATCAAATAATTTCATAGGCACATCACGACAGTGGTGTATTTTTCAAAATCCACCTCAACGTGACCTGTTTTTGGAAAGTACTTTCAGCAACTTACCAACACAAATGAAACAAACTATGTAAATACAAACTTGTATTTCATTGCTCTTAAGAATGACACACGTATATTTTAAGAAAACAAACATTATAACAACTATGGTCAAATTAATTTACGCATTATAAATAGAATGTGTTTATATCAGTATTTTCCTATATTCTGTTTCATATGCTGGTACATCTCAGATAACTCTCACATCTCTCATCAAGTAAGTCTAAGATAAAAACATTTCAGGCAAAAAAAAAAAAGAAAGTATCTCTGATTTTACAGACATGAGTATTTGCTATTCATTTAATTTCTTCTTTGGGGACTTTGTCTTCATAAGGAAGTAAAACTCTGAACTACCAACCCAAAGCTCCAGAAGTATCAAAACACAACAAAAAGTTGATATAATTTGGATGAGGTTGTGCTATATTTTTGTTTTAATCAATGAGGAGCGTTTGGAAAAATGTTACTTCCTTCAAATAAAATAGCACAAAATTTCTTTAATTTTATAGATACAAAAGAATCCCAGATTGCCTACAAGGAGGTTATGGGAAGCAACATCAAAAGCCTTACTAAAGTCAAGACAAACCACATCAACTGCTCTCCTCCTCCACCAAGCCAGTCATCTCATCATGGAAGGCTCTCAGGTCAGTTATACACAATTTCCCCTCCAGAAATCTCTGCTGACTATTCCTTATCACCTTCAATCCCTCATGACCACAACCACCATTTCCCATCCCTCTGCGCCACTGGGTGCAGAGTAAGTAGAGAAATCGGGAGTAGAGTTAAGCCTGGGAAGAATAGAGGAGTTGGGGAAAGGGATTTAAGATTTATTTTTTATTTCTTGTCCTATTCTAATTTAATTGGTAATAAACTTCCCCAAGTCTAATCTGTTTTGCCCAAGATGCTAATTCATGAATGATCTCTCCCCTGTCCTTACCTCAACCCAGAAACAATTTGTTATACTTTCTTTCCCCTGTCCAGCTGAGGAGGGGAGTGACAGAGCAGCTTGGGTGACCACCTGGTGTCCAGCCAGGGCCAACCCACACCAGCAGATCCCTAAACACACTGAAGTCTGCTCTCCTGATGCTCAGGGCTGTCATCCTGCTATTTGCCTTATTTCCCTCAGGATCCTGAACTCCAGAGCCAAAGGACATCCCCAACATTCACACTTTCAAATCAGTTCTTCTTGTTTGCAATTATCAGGTCCAGAAGAATACTGCCACTTCCTGGCTTCTCAGTCATCTCTATCAGGAAGTTAAAATTCATACAGTCCAGAAATCTAGATTCCTTGTGCCTTGCTAGTTGCCCTTCCAGATCTTTGGCAGCTTGGAGTAACCCATGTAGACCAGGGACTGCAAATCACAGATCTGTTTAGGTTGGAAGGACCTCCTGAGATTACCTAGTTCAACTTCTCTAATCAAAAAGGGTCAGCTAGGGCAGGTTGCCCAAAACCAAGACGAAAGCCTCATCTTTTACTTCCTCCTGATCAGGCAATCTGTAGCAGTTAGTTAGTGTTCAAGACAGTGTCACCACGTTGGTCTGCTTGCCAATCCTTACCCATAAGGTCTCAGTTGTTCACTGTCCAGGCAGAACTCCACGCATTCCCACTGCCGTGCTGCCACTCTGTCTGCTCTTGAACCTAGCCATGGCAGCACTTCAGCTGTATGAGCTATAGCACCTTCTCTTTCTGATTCCAATGATATTGCAGCCCTGCAGCTACATGCAGAGATCTAATTCCTCCAGTTTGTTCCACATGCTGCATGCGGCAGCATACAAGCACTTCAGAAACACAAAGCTATAACTATTTTTCCAAGAAGAGTGGTTCCTCTATTATGTTCTTGTCTCAGAAGCTTTATACACATACACTTGAAGCAGGCTGCCTTCCTTCAGACCTTACTATTTCTGAGGGTTCTAGTGCCCATATCAGCCACAACTTGCCCACATTTTTCTCTTTGTTTGCCAGTCCAGTCCACCACTTCTTCACTTGATTGTGGCTCACCATGTGCCTCTCCCATTTTTCCGATTTTAGAGCTTGCATTACCAGGTTGGTTGAAAACATTCATTTTGCCTTCAAGAAGAGAAGTCTGACCTACTTTTTCTAATATTAATACTATATTACATATGTAAAAATTTCTATTGAAATTCAAATACATAAGAAGTTGAAAAGACTTTATTGCTGCACCACTATTAAAACAAATTGGTTACAAAAAAAGAATGGAAAAGGTGTAGCAATGGGTGCTATTTTTCCCACAGCTCTCAACTTCGTCAATTTTTTGTTATCTAATTACAAACTTACTTGGAAATTTTTGGAGCAGTCTGTGTTGAGAGCATGGTTATGTAATTTGTAAGAATAAACACATTATTTATTGCATGTCATTCTGGTATGTGGAAATGTGTTTTTAACTCAAAATTTGGAAGCTGGGTGACTGAGAAGTCACAATGAAGCTCTTCCTAATACTCCTCCTGGGGAATGACATCAACCTTCCTGCTTCAGAATATAGAGGAATCATTCCAGTATTTTGATTAAATAATGACCTTTACCCACCAAATGTACAGAAAAATATTTTATCTACCTGATAGGTTATTTCATCAGAGTTTGCAGATGCTGAATGGGATGTATGGCTCACCAGTATGACTTGCTGTGAGCCTGACCCACTTTGGCTAGCGAGACTGGAATCTGTGAGTATAGCAGGGAACTGCTGACCCTGTCAAAGAGGGCAGAAAAAAAAAAACCAAGTAGAATAACTATGTTTAAACAGCTAACTGTAGTCATGTAAATAATTTTTATACCTCAAAAGTACTTTATTTTTCTGAACAAGACCACTCCAGAATCCTACCTGAATAAATGCTAGTTTTCTCTCATTTTCTCTTTTCATTTTAAATCAAACAATTTAAGGGCAACAACTACTGCAAGTCTGTCAGAGCGGAGATTCAGCCTTGCATAAACTTGCATAAATGTTTCAGCATTCCCTTGTCTTTGTCTCTTCAGCTGATACCCTCTTACATTCTGCTTTCCTGAGTGGTTTTCCCACAATATTTTCCTTTTTAAAAATCTCTTAATTATACCGACTTCCAAACCCCATGAAAGTAAGATACAAAATTACTACTTTAGATATACTAATACTATACTACTACTTCTATTTCTACATTACTGTCGGAGACTTTTCTATTTCCCTAGGAAATACAGTACCTTTATGTACCACCTGTCTATTCATCACAGTTCCTGCAACACAGACTATGTATGCACAGCGCCCAAAGCAAGGTTTCATTTTTATTTATGCCTGCCTTAACATTAGGCATAGCGTCTTATCAATAAACATCAACACTGCTAAATATAATTGCTTAAATTATTACAAAGTCTGAAATGAAATCACATGTTGCTTTGTTACTCTGTGATGCCAGAAATCACAAATGTGTCATAAGAACTATTTAAGCAATCTTTTGTTCCCTTTCCCAGAGCAAAACTGCAGAAGGAAGCATGTAACCATCCTCACAGACTTTGCTTCTCAAGGTTTAATCACACCATATGCCTGACAAATAGTCTTTCATTTACATACATTTACACATTTTAAGTCAGGTCAAAAAGTAAGTAAAAATCAATCCAAGCCTAGTTAAGCCAAGAAGTAGAAGAAACAGCCCAAGTTTTCAGATGCAAAATCTACACTGAAATGCCAACCACAAAACGACCTTAAATTTTCAATTTCTAGTCTTTTAGTATTATTTATTGTTTGGATCTGTTTGGGTTTTTTCCTCCCCATTCTATACATTCTACTTACCAACATGTCTTTGGCTCTTGATGACACCAAAAAAAGTCTTAAATTATGATGAAAATAAAACTAATGCTAAAGCTACTGGGCAGATGATGGCCCATACAACACTATTCTTATAAAATTTCTTATAACGCTACCTGTTTTTAAAGAGAGTCGATTTAATTTAGATTCTGTTATTTGTTGTGAAAGGAACTGTTACATCTGCTCTTCAACTATCATGTTCACAAGAAGGAAAACAGAAACTTACCATATTAAACAATAAAAAGATTAGGAATATTTTGCTGTATTTCTGAGTAGTGATGATGAAGTACAACCCAGTTTAGTTTATCACTAAAACTGATCTCAAACTACATTTGAAACAGTAGAACCTAACTGTTTATTGTTAAAAAAGAAACCTGCAAAAATTTCCTTTACTTCTTTTAAATAGTTTATGCTTCTACATGCCAGTGTGCACACATAGTTGGCAGACAGAAGAAAAGTTAACTGAATTTTCAAGCACTATGTATTTACAGGACAAAATTATTTTCTAAGCAAAATCTCCGATTCCTGCGCTGTAAGTCAGTGATATTAGTGTATCTGTCAGTTCAGAAAAGCTTTTCTTACCTGTGAAGTGATATTAAGTGTAACTGCATCAAGACCACCTGACAACATTCCCTGAGTGTCAGCAAGAGTCAAGGTGACACTACCATCTCCTCCAACTCCTGATGAAGACATTACCAAATTCTGAGCAGAAACTGTAGACTGAGATATGGGTGTTGTTGAAGGAAGGTTTGTTCCACCTGTTGTATTAAGCTCTGGAATATATGCAAAGTAGTAAAAATAAGAAAAAAATACATCTGTTACATACCTAAACTCTTAGCTGCAAACTTACTTTAATTGAACTTAATTTCTGTTTCTCATTTGCTAGGCCTTTCTCTTTTAGAAGGTAATAAATCAGTAAACATCACGTGTTAAAAATTGTCATAGAGTCAGATGATAAAATCAGAAAAATTACATCCAAATGTAGCTTGACGGACATCATCCTGCAAAGCAATAACTTCATAACATGGCATGTGGGAGATGACTCATTGCTGAAAAGATACCTGAAGAAGTTTGAGGCTACACATTTCTGTAGTCTGGCCACTCTCAATGAAATACACTTTGACTGGTGGCAGTAAACCCAAAATTCAGTAACTCTGTAACCCAACAGTCACACCCTATATCCTTGCAACATGGTTGATAACGCATAAGAGCAAAAAAGGCCAGTTTATTTTCAACAGGTATTTCATAACAGTTTGATTATAACAACTGTAAAATGGTTTATTACAGATTCTCCAACACACGACTAGAGGCCTTGTAGCTCTCAAGTTTATGGTAAGCCTGATAAGAAAATAACAGAGAGGCACAATACCACCGTCTGTTTTTACTAATGTATTACACAAGAGCATGCCTTAACCTTTGAATCTTACAGGATACTCTGGGGTAGGCTTCCCCTAGTATGACATAAAAGCAGATTTGCTTTGTAGATGTATATGAGCACTAAAGAAAGCCACGAAAGGAGGCAGACTAAGGAAAAGGAAGATAGGGAAAATTTATTTACAGATCAGTAATAAGTTTGTATTAGTGCAACCTGCTACAGCCAATCAGTGCAACCAATGCAACCTGCTCCACTGGGTGAAAGTATGAACAACTATATACGTACATATGTGTTTGTGTGTATATTAACCAGATACAGGTAGAAATTCACATACATATTTAAAATCTTAAAATTTGATTACCAGAGGAAATTTGATATAAAGGACATTTTATACATTTGCAGCAAATGTATGATTTCTTCATCCTCCGATTTATAGAAATAGTCCTTCAATATTTCTGTAACTGCCTCAAAGTACTGATTTTTACATAGGCCTTCCTATTTTAATTTTCTTCTTATGTGGAGGAAAATTCATTTAAATTGGCATACCAATTTAAAGCTAGTGAGAAAACACACAAAGCCATGCAGTTCCTGAATTGAAATACGCAAGATTATACCATTTCATAGTTACCTGGTCTAGCATTTATTTAAAAAAAAATTACTACTATTTTTAATTAGAAAATCAGTGTATGCATACCTGGAGTATTTAGTGAAGTGCCCTGAGAAAGAAGCTGGTCGTTGCTTATAGTTAATGTAGCACCTGTTGTCTGGCTGTTGATGGTTGGCGCTGTCAGCCTTAAGCCACTATTCAGATCACTGTTTCCAGAATTATGCTGAATAAGATCTTGGCCTGAATACAAATTAGTCCTATTATAACTGGAAATGTCTCAATGTTATTCTGCTACTGTACTTAGAACTATAGGACAAGGATCATAAAATAATACAAGTAGAAAACACATGCAGATTTTTATGCAGAGGTTCAAATTTTTAATACAGATGTGATTATGCATATCTAGACACTAACAAGAAGAGAAATAACTGAAATTGTTAATAGGCAAATACTGATCTTACTTATCTAGGTTCAAGACACCAACTCCATGAAACAATAAAACTCTAGCAAACTAAAAGCTAATGGTTAAAATATGGGAGGGGTTTTTTTGATGTAATATATGGAGAATGATTGCATTGTAAAAATATCACTTCACATGGGGCTAATTTTCTGGGACAGACAACAAGCATATAACATACAGAAACTGAAACCTATACTCCATTTTTCTTAGAATAGCAAACATCTATTATCAAGCAGAAAAACCTAAGTGGGAGACCCTGACACCTTAACACTGACATTACTGTCATGACACTTAAAAACACTAAATGCATTACAGGAAACAGAAAAAGAGAAGAATTAAAAAAGGAAAAGAAATTTAAAAAAGTAAACCAAAAATCACTAACTATTATACTGGATCTATTAAAGAAGTGTTGTGATACAAAATACAAACTGTCTTTCAGAGAAATAGGTATTTACAGTATATAGAGGATCAGTCTCTTAGAGGCAGTAAGAAAGTCAATCAAAACTTACTCAGAGACACCTGGACTATTAACTACATATTATAAAGTCTGAATTACATTTCAAAGAAAGATCAAAACATCTGTTAGAACATGATTCCACAGGCATCTAAAGAAAACTGATTAAGCTTATCCCCAGTGCTTGCTCTGCTTGTTCGTGTCCTGGTACTACCCAGGAGTTGCACTACCCCAGACGAGCACAGCAAGGAGGCGAGAACTGGTTATATGGGCTTTGCCATGAAGATAAGTATCTGTTGGCTCAAGGCCATGAATAAATAGGGAACCAATCTAACGTATCCTCAAAGCAAATGTATTTGGTTTTCAAAAGCAAATTTAAGGAGTTCCTTTTAAAGCTGATGAATATAAAAAAAAACCCCACAAAACACCAGAGGAAAGCTGTGGACTGCGAAAATACCCTTGAATGATACTGTACAGCTAACATATAAAATGCAGATCTGGTACCATTAAAGATCATTAAAAATACCAACCAGATATTGTAAGAGTGATTTCTTGAGGACTTCCTGATGAGCTTGTAGTAGTAGAACCCGAAGCATGAGCTAGAACTTGACTCAAACTGGAATTATTTATGGTCAGCATTATCTCATGTTGTCCATTTGAAGATGATACCATACCCTGTGAAGTCATGACTTGAGAGATGTCCTGTGCACCTAGATGTAAGTGGGTAGACCAAAAAAACCAAAAAATCCATAAAGATCCTTTCATTATAGTAAACACAACTTTTTAAAGCAAGTTATACATTATTTTCTAAACTACAATAAAACACAAAAGAAGCCAATGAAAGATGCTAGAACTTGCACTCTAAAGAATAACCTGCAAAGGAATAAATTGGATATGAAAACAATTTAAGATCTTCAGAAAAAAAGATTCTGTATTGATTTTCTCACTGTGGGTAATACCATAAGTAAAACTAAGAAATTCAAAGCCCAATAGAATTAGTGACACTGCTTACCAGTAGCACTGGTTGTCAGCACAGACTCTTGCTCAGATAGGGATCCTATTGTCATGTTAGCAGATGATGTTACTGTGGGCTGCAAAGACAGGCCTGATAAAGGCTGAATAACCACATTAGCCGGCACTGCATTCTCTGTTGCCTGGAGGGAGGAGTTTTGTGGAGCCATATTGGGATCTCCGGTTAGCTGCTGAGCAAGTAAATTACTCTGCTGTAACGTCTGCTGTAGAATACTTGGATCAATCTGGAAAGCAAGTTTTCAATCTGATCAATCTGAAGTTAAGAGATACAGGTTAAGTGAATATCCTTAACATAAATTCAGAATTCATATTTATTGCATGTAGAGCATGTATAATACTTAGACTTTTTAAATAACTACTTTAAGCTTATTTTTCAAGAGTCTGTATATAGCAACTCTCCAAAGTCACTGTGTAAGCAGCCTAGTCAGCTTCCTCTAGATTCTTCCCTCAGCAAAATGTTTGGAAAATCATAATCCTGGTCACATGTGAGCATGCTTGGCACCAGGTACCCACACTGCTGACATTCTGTACTGTTTTATTTCTGCAAGCAATGCTTATCATTGTCTTCGGGTCTTTGAAAGTGCAAAGGCATGGAGCACAACCAAGTTCATGAAAATCATTCCTTCACATCATTTCAAATACAAGATTTTAGGTGTAATTATCTCACCTTTTTCTGTCATTCATTTTACTAGCTCAATAGGAATTTCTATTGTAAATCCAAATATTAAAAGCTTATAAAAGCTTGCCAAATAAAGCAGGTGTCTAATGTTAAGGAAAAGAACATTCTGTGCAATAAACTGGGTTTGACTGACATTCTGTGCGATAAACTGGGTTTGATTGTTTCCAGGGGAGGTTTCTTTTGGGGGCTTGGTGGGGAGCCTAAACTGCTTTTGAAATGAAAAGACAAATGCAATTAAAAGAAAAAATAACAGAGATTTTTAAAGCAATCTGATAAAAAAAAAACCAAAACAAACAAAAAAAACCAAACAAACAAAAAAAAAACCCATGAAAAAATGAAAAAGAAAGAAACCAATCAGAAAAAAAAACCCACTGTGCAGCTATTCTTTAGGTCTTCTAACATGGTACAACTGATAGAGCATGGTATTGATGCATGCCTCACTTAAAGGGAATCTTCCAGAATTATGCATCCTCCTTAAAACTTCCTTCAACCCTCAAAGTGATTCACTCAAACTAAAAGCAAGAAACTGTGAACAACCTACCTGTAATGTTATGTTGTTAATACTGGTGGCATCTATTCCAGAAATTTGAACATTTTGTCCAACCAGATTAGCAGCAAGTTGTAACTGTATTCCTTCAAGAGTGGCCAAGCTACCATCTGTCAAGGACACAGTTAAGTCACCTCCAGCTACCAAAGAAAACAGTTATATTATAATGTTTTTCTATATCGTTACTGACTGCCTCTTTTAGCTTGTTTATTTTTATAAGTTAAATCAATATAAAAGCTATACACACACATATTTATTTATGCCAAGAAAAATAATCTGAAGTAGATGATTGCCTATTTTAAAGCTTCATAAATTTTAAGTAATTTAAGAATTGTTATTATTTAAGCACTTAAAAAACAAGAACCACTCCAGAGTAGCTGAATTCCAGAGTAGTGGAATATCAGTACTACAGCTACTTGTTGTCTCTATTTTCTTCCTTTCTGCAGTGATACACCACTGCAGAAATTAAGAGATCTTTTTGGGTGAACTGCACACATTTTTCCTTCATTCTTAAATGAATACATTTCTGTGTATTTCTGTGTCACCACCATGCATCAAATCACTAATTCAGTACAAATCTTACCTGTTTGGCAAGTAGCGTTTGGCATAATTTTCTGAACCCTAATTAAAAGCAATGTTCAGTACTTGATTTCAACACCACCAACAAAAAGTCATCCATTTTTACCTGACACTGAAGCAGGCAGGATAGCCTGGCCCACAAGTCCTTGTTGAAGTAAATTTTGATCAAACTGATTCGTCAAAACAGAGTTATTCATGATGAAAACGTTAGGGTCTGTTGAGGATGAATTAAGAAGATTGACTGGCTGTAGTCCCTCAGCTGAAGAACGTGCAACAGGCTTCCTAACTTTCTTTGCCTCTGGTTTATAATGACACTGTATGTGGGTTTTTCTGCGCCCTGAAGTACGAAACCGTAAATCACAGTGTGGACATTTAAAGGGCTTTGCTCCTGTATGCAGGCGCATGTGTACTTTTAGACTCCCTTTTGTAGAAAAAGAATTACTGCATACATGACAACTGAAGAGCTTCTGGCCTGGAAAAGTTTCAAAAACAGAAAGGTAAGTGATAAAATCTCTAAAAATTAACAGCATTGTACCAACAGTTTACAAAAATACAGATTCTGAAGTAATTTGAACAGAATAAATTTGTAGTAACTAGCCTTTTCCTTTATAATTTTGACTGCTTTTCAAATTAATTAAGGATCTCAATTAATGGTATCTTACTTTTTTCCTATTTCTAAAAATCAATTATGTTGTTAAAACTTTTATGCAGAATCTTATTTGGTCACCTGTCCTCCTCATCGCCTCACTTTCCTGACTAATCAAGTTGTTCCAACTACACAGCTCATAAAACCAAAAGTTTTATCTTGACCTCTTCAGCATTTGGATTTTCCTTACTTAGCCACTCATTTCCTTTTTAATTCCAGCAGCTTTATTGTTCTGTTTCAGCCTTTATCTCAATACTGACTAGTATTAATGGATTACAAGTAGAAAATGAATAAAATTCATAAGTCAGATAATATTCTAAACTAAAATACTAATCACCTTGAAGTAATCTAAAAGTTCCAAAATCTGGTCTATTCACATACGGTCCTTCCTCTGCTGTGTTTCAGATTGCATAACATTTGAAAAAACCCCACTTGGTCTCAGATGGCATTTTTAATGTACTAGAAATAAAAACAGTTAACTATGGAGTTTGTGTCACTAACCATATGTGCAGTTGTACGATTCACAAGAAGCATAATGAAAATACCTGGTAGAAAACATGCCACCGCATGGTAATTCCTGAAATTCCCTGGCCTTCCAGCACAATATTACTTCTGGATAAACCGGGGAAAGAAATCAATGTATTTTGTATAGCTGCCTTATCAAAGAATAAAATCAAAACTTCTCTATAGCTGTGATGGAAAAATACATTAAAAAAAATCCAAAACAACAAAACCCCAAAAACCTAGTCCTAACTGTGACTAAGTTATCTTTTTTACGTGGCAAATCATTAGATCAACCCTGAAATTAAGTTGACTCAACTTCCAGATCAGAATGCACTACTGTATTCTGGTGATGTCAGTCATTTACAGTTGGTAAAGAAGTCACAAAACCAGTGTGCACTTCCAATAAAAATCAATTTTAGTTTCCATTTATAATGAAGAATATCTCATCAAATTCCTGAATTACAATTCAGCCTGCTTCGGCTTACAAAACCCTAAAACGGCTGTCACTTATTGTTTAACAAAACCAAGGAAAACTCTGACAATGTTCTGGTTCAAATAATGGAGAAAAGAGAGCCCAAGAATAACAGGAACCAGTAAAACAATTGGGATCTGGCCTGAAGCACAGCTCTCTATTACAGAGTACCACAAAGGAAACCATGTAGGAGTGCATCCCACTAAACCAAAAAGATACCCACTGGGAGGAAGGAGGGGAGGGAGGGAGGGAGGG